TAGAGAATCTAGTATGCAAAATGTTATTATCGTTGGAGACAAAGTGGACCCACTGCGAGTAGGATCGAAGGTCTTAACCGCACACCCACTCCCTCTCCACATTTCTTCTCTACCAAATTAATGCCATCATCTCACACAAACTACACCTATTAATTTGCATCACCTTAAGTCAATCTTGTATTGTGCCCTCTTTATATTAAAAGAAATAGAAGAAAGGAACTTGTTAGCTACTTCTTCCCTCTTAAAAGAAAATTAAATTTTTATCTTTACAAAAGTATTTTCATTGATGTTTTTAACTAGTATCATTTGTGCAAGTTTGTTTCAAATAATTTGTTACTAATATTTATATTTATCATGCATAGTGTTTCATTATATTTGAAACAAACCTTATATTACTTACAAACAAGGTAATTCATAATTTATATATTTATCCTCTTTTAATCCATGAATATATTTTTAAAAGTTAAAATTATTAAGATATATTTGTCAATTTTTAAAATAAATAGTATCTTAAATTTCATAGTTTACTTTATTTATATTAAGATCGAAACATTGACATTGTTTATTGTTTATGAGAAAAATATATTAAAAAAATTCAAACCATAATTATTTTGTGATGGAAGAAGTATTGTTTTAAACATTAAGGATTTCATAATCGAGTACTTTTAAAAAAAGTTTACATCAATTCATCCACCAACATTTTACCTGTTTGTATTCAATTAAATAATTATTATATTATTTTTTTAATGCATATTAGGATTTTTTTAATAACCTTTCATTAGTTGGGTACACTATAGAAGCCATACACATATCTTTTAGGTACTGAATTATATTTTTAAAAACATTACTTTAAATTCACCTAGCACTTCGTAAACTCAGCCACACCGTTACACGTTGGGACCCACCATGAGACACGTGTCAAATGGGACCCATGCAAAAGTATCTAAATAAAATATGAAATAACGCAGAGGGGACATGAGCATCTCCTGTTATGCCAATGTAAAGATGTTCCTCCAATAAGAAAATGACACGTCATCATATGAAGTATTTTGTACATTTACTTTTCCGACAGTGAAATTTTAATTGAATAAATTTTTTATAATTAATTTAATGATTATATTATCTCATCATCATCCTCTTGAAATTCGTAGGTACCTGCCTCCGCTGCCAAGTTCAGCTGCTCGTAATGTTGTATGATGATATTTTTAATAAATGATTCACATTATTATAGAGATATTTATTTAACAAAATTTTACATAGAACAAAAAATAAACATAATATTTTCAATCAAGTAAATAATCTATATAATATATGAATATAAAATGCTTAACCATTCTACTAACTAAAACTCATCAAATTTATTATACACTTTCTAATATTCATTTTACTCAATCAGGATCTTTGAATTTTTTTAAATGAAAAGTAACATTTTTCGATAAATTTTATTTTATCTATAATTGAAACTAGCAACCATGTCAATGTATAATAGGATATTCTTACGATTATTTGAATTGAACACATCTTGTCCAAAAAAATCACATGTACAACGACACACGTCTTCCCATAGGTTAATGTTATAATACGAAGGGAAGAACTTCACTGTTAGAAAACATCTAAAATATAAGCCAACAACATACATGAAACTTGCTTGTGCGATTTCTTCGCATAAAGTCAAACAGTAAAGTATAGAAAAATACTGGTAAAAAATATATTTCAATAATTATTAATATCAATTTATAACTTTGAATGAGTTTTGAATTAAAAATGTGTGTTTTTTTTCTTTCTAGAAACACCAGCATGCATGACATTTGTTTATTATTGTAATATAAACAATCTGATGAGCAGTTTAGAGGATGTGACAAGGGCATTGAGTCAAATACTACAGGAACCACAGAATACTAAAGGGTATTAAAGAAATGCATTGCTTATTAGGGCTGCAAAATAAGTTCTTAGAATAATAAGAACAAAAGGAGGGGTACTGGGAAAAATGGATAAGGATATGAGTTAAAAAACACAGAAGATGAGTCGGAGAGAGAGGGAGAGAGTAGCCGTGACAGACAAAAGTGGTTTCTGAAAACTACAAATAAACCACACCACAGTTGGCATGGCAGTAATAATGAATGGTTTTTTCGAGGCAAACTATAAAATATTATTAAACACTTCTATACCTTAAAATTCAAAATGCAGGGTAAATTTAGGTGAATTGGAACTCACTAAAAGGATAGTGATCCAAGGGTAAATTCAAATACTGCTATGTCTTATTTTTTCAACAGATTAATTGCATTGAGTTTTGTTTATTTGCCTTCACTCTTGGCTCCTTCAGCATTGTTTCCTCCTCCTGGTTCTGGCATCTGAAATGCAACTTGAGATTTATAAATGGAAACACATATATTATTTCCAACGTCAATATTTGGTATTTTCGATATTTGCGTGGCTAAATTGTCATATAGTAATCATCACTGGCTACTTATCTGATTTCTTTAATTCCAAGCATATTCTTTAAAAGGTCCACATCATGATACCCAGCTATTGTTTTTTAGTGTTGCTTATTACATTATCAACACATATCATATGATATATATACTACACTATATACTAAACCATGACAATGCAAACTTCAATAACTAGGCATTAGAGTTTAGTACCCAATAATAATAATAATAATAATGATAATAATAATATTCATATATAATCGAAAAGTCTTTGCTAGCCTGCGACGAACATCACAATGTACACACCAATCCACCATTGATTTTATTTTAAAAGAAGCAATTAAAAATGCTTTCACCTCACGTGATCCGAGTACAACGTTTCAATTTTATACACGCTCGGTTTAATTAAATAATATTTCATTTTATAGTAAATATAGTAACTCAAATTACATTTTTTAAATGGAAATGTTGGTATTGGTATCAATAATGACCACACATGATGTTATGTTATGACTCAAACAAAGAATAGAGTAAAACGTATACAACACTCATACATGATTTATTCAAGGATCATACGCATTCTCTCATTTTTTTTTTTCTTCATGTCTAAGCATTTATGATGATTAAATAGCTAATTTTTGGTCCGCGAGATAAAACTTACCAATCATCGTATTAATTAATTCCTTGAACATAAAGCACCAAAGTAGCTTTTTTTGAATTCACTTCAACATTTTTTAACTGGAAACATTTGAGTTTATTTAATTGTAAACGGATTATAGAGAAATCTGTTAATTAGGGATGCAATAGTACCCTGATTTCATGCGGTGAGAAGATGGTATCTGGTTCCATTTCTTCCGCACACGGTTTTCTGAAACTTGAATTTTTATATATTCAAAATATTTACATCCTAACATAAAGCAAAGAAGCTTTAACCGTAGAATGACATTAATTTTGTCAAACAAATAAAACATTTTAACATCATTATTAAACAGTTACAGCTATGTTCAATTACTGCGTTAACTTTGAAATAAAAATAAAATAAAAAGATTATCTGTTATTCATTAGAGAACGCCTTATTGCACGGAAAAAAGCCACATTCTTATATTGTAAAAAAAGTATAATTTTTGTACCATAAACATCATTTTCACTGTAGGAAATTTGATCCAGCTCTCCAGATCAAATATAGTGCAATAATATATTACCAGAGAAAAATAAAAACTGACGTGGCTGCATATTCTAATAATTCTAATTTTGATGCAACATGAAGAATATACTTTTTTTTATTATACATCGTGCATTTACTGAACCACCCTGGTGGAGTAAGAAGGAAGATAGATAAAGTTTTTTGACCTTTGGTGAATCTCTTACTTAATTAAAGCTTTTATTTTATTCAATTATTAATTTGTTTTGCATATGTGAAATTCCCGTTCTGCTTGGTGCTCCCGGTCTATAAATTGACGCAGCCACCACCTCAGAATCCATTCCATTCACTTCTTCTCTTTATACCCCCTCTCTATTTTGCGTTCATTCTGTTTTCGTAAGTATTGTTTGTTTCTTTTCCCTTTCTCTTTAGAGTTCTTTTTTTCTTCTTTCTTTTCAATGTTCTGCCTCTCCCCTGTTTCGGTGCTCTGTTCACCGCTGCCACGTTAGAGTAATTTTCATCCTCTGCATGTTCATTTTCTTCTCACCACTGGATCGGACTCCATCTTCTCATCCAGGGTCTCTAAATAATGCCTTAAAAACATCACGGGGTGGTGCTGCTACACCGACTCTGTTTCTGTGTCCAGTCTCTGTGTTCAATTTTACTTAGAAAACGTTGTTCTTAGATTGTATTCGGTTTATGGGGAACATGACCCTGTCGGTCGGTTGTTTTTTTGTTAATCCTTAACTGGTCACAAGGATTTAACTGTTGAATGCATGTCCTGTGTTAAAAAACAAAGGAAGATAGCACTTTGTACAGCCAGGCCTCGGACCTTGAACTTCTTTGTTCGTTTCTTATTATTAAAAGTAAAAAGAAACTTTAATTTTTCCGTGGGATGAACGGTTGAGACTTATGAGAGGTTTAAGCTAATCCTGGAGTGGAATATTAAATTTATTTTAAAACAATAGTTCAAGCACTCAATTTCCTTTCAACCACTTTGGTGGGTTGCCAATTGCTATTATTTTTCTATTAATTAATGCAAATATGACTTAAAAAGACAAGTTGGTGACAGGAAAAAGAAAGTGCATCTTGCAATTATTCTTCTGCAGCACTGTTGAAGGTTGAAATCTTAGTAGAGCTATGTAGAAGATCTGGTACTATATTTTTTGAGGACAGGTGGTTGGTGGGGGTGGGTGGCATAGGTCTTGAAATCCAATCCAGTTTTGTAAAATATTTTTTAATGTTTTTATTCTTATTTTTTTGTTTTTTGCTAAATTGTTTGAGGTATTGACTTTGTGTTGTGATCACTGAAGATTATTGATTTACCTTCATTTTCCATGGTGACATGTTTTGTATATTCTTGATCCGTGTCTTACACTGTTTTTTGTTGTTGCAGTTGAAGTCTTTCCCTGAGATCTTCCAAGCCAATGGCCACTGATCGTTTGACCCGTGTTCACAGTCTCCGTGAGAGGCTTGATGAAACCCTGTCTGCTAACAGGAACGAAATTCTGGCCCTTCTGTCAAGGTAACTCATCATTTTAGTTTTTAGTTTAGAAGTTTTTCATGGTCAAAGGGTTTTACACGGTAAGTTTGGTTAAGGCTGCTTAATTTTTGTATCTGTGTATGTTTTTTTCTCTTTTTAAAGGTGTTGAAATTCTATTAACTATGTTTAGAGAATGAGTTTGTTTAAAAAAGTTCAATTTGTAATGTGTGTGTGTGTGTGCGCTTTCTCTCTTTAAAGGTAGTGGAAGTTCTACCATGTTTAGACGGTGACTTAGTTCAAGGAAGCTCAATTTGTGTTTGTGTGTGTTCTGTCGTACAAAAGATGGTGAAAGTTCTACTATGTATGTGTTCGGGAAGCATGTGGTGTAACACTGACGAATTTATGGAATTTTAACAGGATCGAAGCTAAGGGCAAGGGGATCTTGCAACACCATCAGGTCATTGCTGAGTTTGAGGAAATCCCTGAGGAGAGCAGACAGAAGCTTACTGATGGCGCCTTTGGGGAAGTTTTGAGATCTACTCAGGTAAGTAACTTGTTTGATGTTTAAATCAGAGTTTTTTAGCCATGATCTGTCTGATTTGTTTTGTTGGTTTTCTCATTTCGTTGTTTCTTCTCTTTATATGTTGTAGGAAGCCATAGTTTTGCCACCATGGGTTGCTCTGGCTGTTCGTCCAAGGCCTGGTGTATGGGAGTACCTGAGAGTGAACGTGCACGCTCTTGTTGTTGAGGTGTTGCAGCCTGCTGAATACCTGCGCTTCAAGGAGGAACTTGTTGATGGAAGGTAAAGAAAAGGCTTTGAGTTTGTGTTAAGTGGTATTTTTTTTTATGTTGCTTACTATTTATAAACGTTTCTCTCCCTCTTTTTTCAGTTCTAATGGCAACTTTGTACTTGAGTTGGACTTTGAACCCTTTACCGCATCCTTCCCCCGCCCAACTCTTAACAAGTCAATTGGAAATGGTGTGCAATTCCTCAATCGCCACCTTTCTGCCAAACTCTTCCATGACAAGGAGAGCTTGCACCCACTTTTGGAATTCCTCAGGCTTCACAGCGTCAAGGGAAAGGTAGGTGTCTATTTCTCTCGCCTTTAAACTAAAGCAAAGCAAGATAGTGAGAAGTGTATGCATGTGTTAGATTCATTCTTCAGTAGTTCAATGATTTGAAAATCTCCATCCATGTTTGGACCGCGTCTAGTAACCAGATCAGGAGTACAAATGTAGTATGTATGTAGCATATATATCTATAACATGTTAAACACAAGGGATGTAGTTAGTTCATTCTTTTGCCTACGGTTTAATATTGGTCTTGTGTGTGAGTGAGTGTGTGTGTATTGATTTTACTGACAGATTATTTTGCATGGATGCAGACTTTGATGTTGAATGACAGAATTCAAAACCCGGATGCTCTTCAACATGTTCTGAGGAAAGCTGAGGAGTATCTGGGCACAGTGCCTCCTGAAACTCCCTACTCAGCATTTGAGCACAAGTTCCAGGAGATTGGTTTGGAGAGGGGGTGGGGTGACAACGCAGAGCGTGTCCTTGAGTCAATTCAACTTCTGTTGGATCTTCTTGAGGCCCCTGACCCGTGCACCCTTGAGACTTTCCTTGGAAGAATCCCTATGGTCTTTAATGTTGTTATTCTTTCTCCCCATGGTTACTTTGCCCAAGATAATGTCTTGGGATACCCTGACACTGGTGGCCAGGTTGTTTACATCTTGGATCAAGTTCGTGCTTTGGAGAATGAGATGCTCAAACGCATTAAGCAACAAGGATTGGACATTGTTCCTCGTATTCTCATTGTATGTCATAGTATGTAGATTTTTGGGGTCTTATTAGCAAGACTACTTGCGTATAGTGCGTGGAATGTGGATATGATCTTCTAATTGGTGCCTGTGGATGTTGTTAAATGCAGATCACCCGTCTTCTCCCAGATGCAGTAGGTACTACTTGTGGCCAACGTCTTGAGAAGGTGTTTGGAACTGAGCACTCCCACATTCTTCGAGTTCCCTTTAGAACTGAGAAGGGAATTGTTCGCAAGTGGATCTCCAGATTCGAAGTCTGGCCCTACTTGGAAACTTACACCGAGGTAAATTTTTTATCCCATCATAATTTTAAAACCGTTTAAGCGTTTTGATGTGTTTTCTTTCACTTTTCTAATCCATTGTCTCTTGTTAACAGGATGTTGCTCATGAGCTTGCCAAAGAGTTGCAAGGCAAGCCAGATCTGATCGTTGGAAACTACAGTGATGGAAACATTGTTGCCTCCTTGTTGGCACATAAGTTAGGTGTCACTCAGGTTGGTAAATAACTATCTAGTTAAAGTTGCCATAATTATATATATTGGAACTCAGAAACCTAAGATTTTATCTTTTATCTATGGTAGTGTACCATTGCTCATGCACTCGAGAAGACCAAATACCCTGAATCCGACATTTACTGGAAAAAATTGGAAGAGAGATACCACTTCTCTTGCCAATTCACAGCTGATCTATTTGCCATGAACCACACAGATTTCATTATTACCAGTACATTCCAAGAGATTGCTGGAAGGTGAGTTGCCCCTTTTATATTTTTGTTCTTTTGCCTAAATTTCTTATTGGATTAGTTTACTAAATCTCTTGTATCATTGTACAAATACTTTTACAGCAAGGACACTGTTGGACAGTACGAGTCTCACACAGCCTTCACCCTTCCTGGACTCTACCGAGTGGTGCATGGTATTGATGTCTTCGATCCAAAATTCAACATTGTCTCTCCCGGAGCTGATCAAACCATTTACTTCCCCCACACCGAAACTAGCCGTAGGTTGACCTCCTTCCACCCAGAGATCGAAGAGCTTCTTTACAGCTCAGTCGAGAATGAAGAACACATGTTAGTTTCTCCTCTCATTTCCTTTATGTTATCTAATCATATCATGCAATGTGAGAAATTGCAGACAAATGTGATCATGTTGTGGAACATATGTTTTGAAACATTGCTATCATGTATATAAGAGCAATTGTCTGATGCAATTTGAATTTTGACAGATGTGTGCTGAAGGACCGCACCAAGCCAATTATCTTCACCATGGCAAGGTTGGACCGTGTGAAGAACATCACAGGACTTGTTGAGTGGTATGGTAAGAATGCGAAGCTGAGGGAGTTGGTGAACCTTGTGGTTGTTGCTGGAGACAGGAGGAAGGAGTCGAAGGACTTGGAAGAGAAGGCGGAGATGAAGAAGATGTATGGGCTAATCGAGACGTACAAGTTGAACGGCCAATTCAGATGGATCTCCTCTCAGATGAACCGTGTGAGGAATGGAGAGCTGTACCGTGTGATCTGTGACACAAAGGGAGCCTTTGTGCAGCCTGCAGTGTATGAGGCATTTGGGTTGACAGTGGTTGAGGCCATGACTTGTGGGTTGCCAACATTTGCCACATGCAATGGTGGTCCTGCTGAGATCATTGTTCATGGAAAATCTGGCTTCCACATTGACCCTTACCATGGTGACCGTGCTGCTGACCTTCTTGTTGATTTCTTTGAGAAATGCAAGGTTGACCCAAGTCACTGGGACAACATCTCTCAAGCTGGTCTCCAACGTATTGAAGAGAAGTAAGCAAATCAAATTGTGAATGAATTAGTGTGTGTTGTTTTATTTTCATAAACATGGCTTTGTTGAATTGTGGTTAACCTTTTTCTTTTTTGCCTTTGTTCCACAGGTACACATGGCAAATTTACTCCGAGAGGCTTCTCACTCTCACTGGTGTCTATGGTTTCTGGAAACATGTTTCTAACCTTGACCGCCTTGAGAGTCGCCGCTATCTTGAGATGTTCTATGCTCTCAAGTACCGCAAATTGGTATGTTTTTTAGTGTGTTTTTAGTATGTTGCATGTTACATATTACTTTCTCATCATATTCTTATTACACCTTCCTAATCTTATGTGTCCTTGTTTTTACCTCAGGCTGAGTCTGTGCCCCTTGCTGTTGAGTAGAATGAGGATTAAGAGTTGGATAAAGAGATGGAGGAACCGGCTTTTTCTTTCTCGTTTCGAGTTTGTCGTACTTGAGTTTCATAAATAATGTCCATGATTTTAATTCTGTGATTAAGCTTTCGATAAGAAGAGGGGGAGAGAGAGAGAGAAAAAAAAAAAAAGGAATTTGTTTTTTCTTTTGCATGATTTGGATCTTGATTTGAAAAGCTTCGAATTGGGGTGTTTTACCCATCAAATCAATTTTAAGCCGTGCCTTCTTCATTTTGTTGTGTCCATGTTACTTTACTTCTATATACTGCTGCTCTTTATTTTTTTATCTTTAAACCCAAAACAAAAGCGTGGTGATAATGAGTATAGTAGTATTGTAGGACAAAAGAAAGTGAAAATTGACGCTGGAATTTGAAGATTTAATTGTCGTTGTCAAATCTCAATGTTCCATAAGTATATAATTCTCAACCTGGGCACGAATATTTTGCGTCTTGTGTAGTATCTACCAATTTATGAATAAAATCCGACGAGAGTTGTTGGGAATGGACGTGTACGTTAATTTTTTTTATATATATATATTTAAAATAAAGATAAACTTAACGCTCTTGGTTGTTCCAACTTTTCACTTTATTAGTCAAATAACGCTGCCCATAAATTACTAACCTTTTTGTTAGCTTCTTTTCTTGTGAACTATTTTATGTCATCAAATTTGTATTTATCAATCAAAGAAAGACCTTTACTATTTAACTAAGAGCATACAACTTCGTGCAACAAGTCCTTGAGGGTGTGAAATATCTATTTAGGATCTTATATGCTTCAGAATCTTGGCTTATTTGAATCCCTTGGCTAGCACACTTACCCCGTAGGTCCCCTCAGCATTAGTTCTTTCACTTTTTTCTCTAGTCATTTTCTAAATCCAGAAAGAAATATCCATCTACAGAATATTAAGAAAAGAGCAATTTTTTTGTTGTTGGAGTTTTAAGTTGTGCAGTATCACAATGCACAAGTCTCATGGCAGTGGAAAAGAAAAGAGTGCTATAATTTTTCGAGAATTCCATAGGCTTTTGTCCTAAACTATGTTTGAGTGCATCAAAACATTGTAGGGACATTGGATCTTTCTCTCTCCTCGTTCATTTATTATCGTAAATCATTGATTGTTCTTAGCTACGCAACAAAAAGTTATTTTAAAAGATTAACTATAACAATTAAATAACTTCTATTTTGAAATTTCTTATCAAACTTGAAATTTAAATTAACTCTTTAAATCATTAAAAACTATTTATTTATTTATTTATGGGAAATGCCAAAATGTGAACAATGTCAGACACAAACTAAATAACAATCAGAAAAACTACAAATCCATAGAACTGGATTATAGGTGTAATTTATCAAACAAGAACTAATTAACAATATGAAAGGTTACGAAAGGGTATAGATAAGTGGAAGCATGAGATTTCTATATCCTTGAACCAGAACTATGAAACCTTCATATTTATAAACCATGTTATTAATACAGTTATAAAATCTGTTTTTTTTTTAGGTTATATCAAAAGGTCGTTGTAGTATAGTGGTGAGTATTTCCGCCTGTCACGCGGACGACCCGGGTTCGATCCCCGGCAACGGCGATTTTATTTTATTTGTTTTAATAGACCCCCGGGTACGTTGTGAGGCAAATGCTTCTGCACTCCTAGTAAATTCTTCTTATACGAATCCAGAATCTTTGTTACCTTCAGGATTAGCTATGGAAATTATGGGTGCTGGAATCATCTACTTTGCTATAAATATCGAGTCCATATTTCCGAAACTTGAGATGCGGTATTTTTCTTCCTTTAGCACATCCACAATTTGGCATCTACATAAAATGAACTTTTTGGGACAAACACAAGCCACAATAATTTTAATGTCCATTTTAAATTTAGTTTATTTCATAAAAATATAGTATTACTTAATCAAGTTTAGGATCCAAAAGCAATACAAAATCCTCAAAAAAGAGATGAGTGTAGAATATTATTGCAATTAAGTAAGAAATAAATAATATAAATTATATATTTTAGATTTCTAAGAAAGAAAAGATTTAGAGTGAAGATATTTATATAAAGAGAACTTTAACTTTAATTGATCTTGTTTTTTCTCATTACATGTTTCTTATCTATAGAAAATAAACACGCAAATTGAAAATTTGTGTTATTTTCAATTTGTGTTATTTTACAAGAAGACAGAATTACTTAATCTAGTCTAGGATTTGGAAGCTTTACAATAGACTAAAAAAAGAAAAATGTAGAGCATAATTATAATTAAGGAGAGAATAAATAATATCAATTATATGTTTAAGGTCTTAAAGAAGAAATTAAGAGAGAAGACAACTGTATAGAGAACTTTTTTTGATAGATCTTGCCCTTTCTTATATATCATAAGTGGCCTAAAAATAAACATACAAATTGAAAATTTTGCTAAACTAATATTTAGGTCCAAAACCATTATACAAAGTGAAATATAAAGATAAGATAAAAGTACACACCTATAATAGTCAACAAAATAAAAGAGATAAAGTCATTTAAAGTAAAATAGATTCAGTTTTACCTTTTTGTTAATACATTTGCACTAAGTGTGCAACAAACATGTGTAAAGATATGAAAACCTAATTTAGCAAAATGACAATATTTAACCAAAACATTTACTTTATCTTGTGAAGTTGAAACAATTCATCTATTGGGTTTCACTTAGGAATGACAATTAAACTCATATCCGTGAAGACCGACTCATCCTTACCCCGAGTTTGACAAGAAAAATCGAGTTGACCGGAGGCGGGGTGGGGATGGGTAATGCAATTCCTACCTCGATCCCGTCCTCACCCAGACTTTATATTTCAATTTAAATTTTAAAATATTAATATTTTAAAAATATTTCTTTTTCTGTTTCTATTACATATAAGATCATTTTTTTATATTTCACCATTTTTATTTTTCTTCTACCCACTTTTTTTTTATATTAAATAATTTATTACATTATTCTCTCTTACCTTTCTGTTTTTCACATTTTCTTAATCTCTCCCATCAATTTGTTTTTTTCTTTAATCTTTTCAACCAATTTGATGAACACAAAGTTAATTTTTTTCTTCTTTATCTTTTTCTAAATATTTTACATAAATCTTAGTAATAACTAATATTATTTTATTTATAATTTATATTTATTAGGTTTTATTATGTCATAATTTTTTATCTTATTATTCTTATTTATCATATATCAAATTTTATCTTAATAAAATAATTATATTTTAAAATATTAAAAGGAATTGATAATTTAAACTTATATTACTTCGAACTAATTAAATAAGAATTAACTTATTAAATATTTTCTTATAAACTATATATTTGATATTTTTAAATGACAACTTAAAAATGAATTAACTTATATATGTAATCAAATGTTTAAATACAGATAATAATAATAATAATAATAATGTTATACGTATTCAAATGTTTGAATACAGTGTTATAATAATAATAATAATAATAATAATAATGTTATAAATATTCTCTCTCTCTTATATATATATATATATATATATATATAATGATTAAATATTTCTTTTACATACATATTTTAATATAAATATAATAAATTAAAAAATATATATATAATTAATAATAATTATAAAATTATAAATATTTATTTATATATAAAAAATACATAGTAAAATTAATTTATTATAAATATAATTATCTTTTTAAAAATAATATAAATTGGGGGATGAGGCAGGGGCGGAAACCCGAAACCCAGCGGAGACGGGGATGAAGACTTAATTTCTAATCTCGAGTAGGGATCAAGGGCGGGGACGAGGATGATTAAAAAGTCGAGGGCGGGGATCGGGAGGTAAAACTCGCCCCGCCCTATTGTCATGCCTAGCTTCACTCTTGGTCATGCTTTCATACATTAAGTCCCAACAAAGATACATCCTTGTGAATCATCATTTATTACATCAATTCTTCATTATAATCGTTTGTCAGGTCTTCAACCCTTTGAAATTCATCCTTAAGGACACAAAACTCTATTGTATCCACTATAAGAAATATTGAAAATACCGACGGTCAAAATCCATCAGTAATAACAAAAATTCATCGATAAATAGATATTACTGACGAAATTTCGACGGCCAAAAATTTGTCAGAAATTGAGTTATCGGTAAATATTACTGATGAATTTAAATAATTAGTCGGTAATTACCATAAATGTTGTACGAAATCACTGACGGACAGGAATCCGTCAGAAATATTTTTATTATTTATTGCATTTTTTACTTATTTTATAGCTTATTTTTTTAGAGATCTCCTCCCCTTTATATTTTTGTAGCTTTGAATTATTATTAGATTAAAAGAATTGACATTGACAGGAGTACCTTAGAGTTGGAGGTCGATACTCCAACCACTAAGCTATTAATTTTTTATTTATAATAATTTACAAATAAATTATATTTATATACAAATAAATGTATATCCATGTAAATATATAAATACAAATATATTTATATATTTTGATATATTTATATATAATTAAATATTTATTTTTTAAAATTATTTAATTTAATAAATTATTATAAATTAATCTAATTATGATTAAATTAAATTATTAAATAAAAAATATTTTATTTTTTAATTAGGTGAATAATTTTTAATTATTTACCGATGGATATTTCCGTCGATAAATCCTTCGATAAATTAATTAGTTACTTGACGGATATATCCGTCGTAATTAATTGTTAATTTACCGATGGATATATCTCGTCCATAACTAATTATTATTTTACCGATCGAATATATCCGTCGGTAAGACCAAATTCCACAAATGTTTTATATCCATCGGTAATGATTCATTTTCTGACGACTACAAATCCGTCAGTAAAAATTCATCGAAATTATGCGATTTCTTGTAGTGATCTTATCTGTTATGGATTATTATCTTTTGGGATGATTATGCTAAGAGGTAAGGAACTGAGTGATTTTTTAGAGAAACTG